TCTTGGTTTGTCCCATGTAGAATTGCTCATGGAACAATCTCTCCAACTGGGTCCAATGATGGATCGAATTGGGGGGGGAGAGTCGTGAACCAAGTAAACGCGTTCTTTGTTAAAGAACTTGGGAAATACTTAATCCTCAGGTTTTCGTTGTTCGAAATATCTCCTGCTTCGATCAAGTATCTCGCCACATGTTCGACAGTAGATTCTGTCGTGTCCCTTGAAAATTTAGTGAATTTAGGGACTTTACATCTAGGAGGTAAGTCTGTTTGTAACACATATTCTGACAGTGGGGATGTGAAGTTGGGCCTACGAAAGCCCATATTCATCCCATTTTGCGTCATGATTCTTTCGATCATGGCTGCCAGGTTATTTTCCAAACCCATGTTCTGGTATTGGATGTGCTGAACTACTTCGTCAGCATTTTGGTTTCTGTTGACTATCCTTACCTCCGGGGCTATGACCCTAGGTCCTTCGACCACGGGTTGCTCCAATCGTGCCCTAAGGTTTTCTTCGACAGGCTGTTGGACTTGGTTAATAGTGGTTTCTTCCTCTAGAAGTATACCTTGGTTTCCCTTTATTTGCGCCCTTTGGGGCTGTCGAATAGGTTGGGGCACCCCAAAGAAATCAGCCAGACGCGTCATTTGCGCTGTCATCTGCTGATTCGACTGGGTGGTGTTTTGTATTAGAGGATTCAGCACCGTACTTAAAGTTTGTGCCAACATTTGAACCATATCATGGTTGCTTTCGTCCATTTGTTGCCTCAAGACTGCTGTCGAGGCATTTGTAAGGCCATGCGCTACTTGGGACGTTCCTCCTAAGAGTTAGGTCCTATTTCTGTTCGCCATACCAACTCCAGAACCTTGGAGTGGCGAAGAGGCACTCACTAAAGGGTCTGAAAAAGTGGACGCAGCGTTCGTCAGGCTAGCCAATTCAGAAGTTGGCATGCCATAGAGTGGTTCTCGATTTGGACCGCCTGTCATAAATCCTGGGGGAACATAAGGCCTTGTTCCTAAATTTCCCCTTGGTGGGGGAGTTCCCAAAGGCGCTCTGGGGCCAGTGAACGGAGGTAATAGCCCCGTTTGTGTGACTGTTACTGCTGGTGTTGAACCAGCGGTTATCGCTTCACTTACGGTTGGGATAACCGTTGTTCCCACATTCGTTTGTGGGATTTCGTTATTGTTTGGCGGATTCGCCATCGCTTCTCTTCTTTTGGCAGTATTGGTATTGTTAGTGTATATTCTACCACTTCTCAATAACATGCAATACTTCTCGAAAAAGATGATATTCTGTATAAAAAGGTTAAACTTCAAAATCAACACAAGGTCCCATCAGGTGTGCCAATTTGTTTACCGTGGAAATTGGTAAACAACTGCTGATCTTCCAAAAGGTTACTTATTTGGTGACTCGCAGGATCGATCAGATTGATCCTAAGACATGGTTGATTTTGGGGGTTTTGACTAAGTTTAATGATGGTTAATGACAAGAAAATAAAGATACTTTATGTAAATTGCATGAAAAAGAAAACTTGGTAGAATAAAAGAAAGCTTTGAATAAAGGCTTCAACTGGAAAAGTAAATGAAGAGGCAGTAAAGTTCTGGAAAATAAATGACTTTGATTAATTAAAGTGGTGTTTCACACATACATTCTCAACAATTCTTTCGCTCACACTGGGTACTTGAATCTATATGAGTGACTTGTATATAATTGTGAACACACGCGAAAAACTACGTGAACTACTAATATTTATACTAAACACATCTCAAGTAACCGTCGGGCAGTTACGCTGCTTCGAGATGACTCCACTTGGCACGCTCACAGCATTCGACGCTCCAGATCTTGGCACGTTGCACTTGGTAACCGCTGGGAACCGTTTTCCCTCCAAACATTTGTATCTCAAACTGTTCCACTCTGAGCGTCGAATACCTCTGTCGAGAAGCACCTTCGACGTCGAAGGCAGCAGGATTCTTACTTAGAAGAAATTCTCTAAGTACCTTGTCATCTTCTGATGAGCATTTCGACAGAATCAGCTGGTCGAAGCCGTCCCTCATGATTAATGGTTTATATTAATAAAAACAAGGGTGTCGAGTTTTAGGAGCCAACAGTAGGTGAAGAAAATGCATATGGAGTAAAGATGATGGTGAAGAACACATATAAAGAAGATGAAGATAACATGCCAACTCATCAGCCACGTAGGTCAAGTTAACGGACGTTTGAGCCCAACTGACGGAAGGGACTTCTTTGTTACAAATTTGGTACGAAAAAAGTTAAGGGACCAAACTGAACCATGGTCTATAGTTAAGAGACCAAAATGAGTATTTTGCCAAAAAAAAAATTATTTTTTGTCTCATATGTTAATTTCAAAGTTTATTTTGATTTTTTAACTTTGAAAATGTTTATATTGATCTTTTAAGTCTTTAAAATATATTATCTTAGTCTTTTTCGTCTAATTAACGATGAATGTAGTGACTTATATTTTTAGTTTTTTAATCAGTTTTTAGTAGATGAAAATGACTAATATAATTTTTTTTAAAGTTAATAAAATAATATTATTTTTCTTTTTAATTAAGGAAACAAAATCATATGAAATAAAAAAAAATTGAGCCCAATAAAAACTATAAATTTGACTATTCTATGCTAAAATGTAATGTACAGTGTTATTAAGAAAATTAACTCTAATTATATATTATAAAAATAATTTTAAAACCACCTAATTTAAGATCATGGATCAACCACTATTGAGGGCTCGTAAGATAATCAATTTTATTAGATGTGTGTATGTTTAGTTTTGCAGAAAAAAATTAATTTTAAATTAACTGATTTAGTAAAATTTATTTTCGTTAAAAGTGAATAGGATGTAAACTGATTTAGATTTATATATATTTATGTAAAAGTAAATTGATCAACAAATTTTAAAATAAAAATCACTTTTAAACTTAAAAATTAGTTTCAAATAAAATAAATTCTAAATCATTCTCGAATCAATTTTATATCTTTAAAACTGTTTTTAACTCTTCTAAAAGCTAAACAAAACATCTCATTTATTGTTTACAATATCATATTAAAAATAATCAAAAGATTTTTTAATCTTCTTAAAATTTAGAGTAACAATACAAGTGAATTGCACCTACTTATTATTATTTGTATACAAGTAGCTTTTGTATTTGGTTGGAAATTTTACACTGATTTTTGCAAGAAACTTGCTTTTAAAATTAAAACATCGAAACATAAAAAATCCAAACCCATGAGTAAGCAAATTCAAATGAGAACTCAAAACTACAAGAGTAACAATGTTTTAAGAAATTAAAAAAAAAAATGAAAAGAAAAGAGAACAATGGATATGATTATGTCTTGTCACAACTAAATCAAATTAGACACATTTTCATAGGAATTATATTCATATAAATAACAAACTGGCCAATGAACAATCCAATAATTGCTTAGCCATGAAGAAAAAGATAAAGGACTAAACAGGGCAAGGGACCCCAAAATTGACAACAGAAAGAAAAAGACTTATGTTATGTCAATCCATAATCCACAATTGGAGGTGGGGAAGAGCTTTTCTTATCTTCAACTGAAATTTCATTCTCAAAAGATTTTGGTGACAATGTTCTTTCAATCTTCAAGCCTGTGCCATTTACAAACATCTCTTTTTCTAAGTGCAGACAGTAACTCTCGAAAACTCGAGAGCTAACCACGACTTTAAAATCCAACAGAAAGAGTAACTCTAATTCAAGCTTGTTCAATTCCGCGTTGCTGACCCCTCCTACTCGAGCGTATACTGCGTTATTATAATGCCTTCAACTCAGAAATGCAAAGAATAATAAACAAAATCAGAAGAAAGACGATAAAACGGTAAGCTAAAAATGAAGTAAAGTATGGTTAGGGACTCACTCATCATCTAGCATCTTGGAAGCAACCATGACACAGGTAACTAGCAGTCTGTGAACATTCAAGGATAAGACCAGAGAATCAGGGTGCTTATGAGTCAGCATGTCTATATACACATAGCCAACAACAAAACATGATGGGCTACAATTAGTGTATTTGTATATCCTTTCCAAGTACTTAGGTATACTTATGCCCGGTGCTCGTACGCCATGAAAGGCATTCAAGCTCTTCCCTACTCTTACTGAGTCAGAGCTCAGTTTATTTAGTTGCTGGTTCAGCTCATCCACAAGCTTTTCATTTCGAGCCACTAGCTTCTCTAAGATGGAAGACAGGATCCACAGCACTCTTGGCAAGTTCAGCTCGGCAGGCCTTGTTACCGGCTGATGCTGCCGGCCGTTGTTGCTATACTCACTTGCTGTTAACATTTAGACCATCTTGGTGATTTAAGTTTCACTCAGGGAAGTTGAACTTGCAAATGCTCAAATTTGCTATTTGAGTGGTAAGGAGCTAATTACATCTCTGCATGTTATCTGGTTTGGGTGTGTGGCTGTCCATTGCAAAGATTTTCTTAATATTTGCAAACCTCTAGCCACTTATATTCTTTAAGGGGTCCCACATTTTTGTGGTTTGTCCTAGGAAAAACCAAGTCACCCCTGAGAATATACAGTTGGCAACAGCAACTTGGCTTGGTTGATTCTTACGCAAAAAATAATTATAGGTTGATTTTCGTACCTTGTAAATACTAGGCCCTTGTGAAGGGACCATAAAACATAGCTACAGGTCAAAGAACAAAGGCAAAATCAATTTGCTAGTGTTGATTGGTTGGTGAAGGACGTGCCATGTAGTCACTGTTTCAACCAGTGAAACAATAAATACCACTATAGCAACTTGTTCATTCATAAACAATGTTAAGAATCTTAATAAGGGATACGTAATATATTACAATTGTTATGGAATGGAACAGAATGTCACTGAAAAGCACTGTAATAATTGAATATAAGCTGTTCTGTTTGTGAAAAAGAATGACATTTTTATATGCAAGGTGAAGCAAATGGAATGAAAGCTCCCCTATTGTCAAAATATTTGAAACATGTATCATACTGTCCTCTAGCCTATACATTGTGATTCATGGAATGAAGTAATTTCTCTTCCTCGTTTGACATTTCACTCATAGAGACCTGCATGTGTGATTTGTTATTCATCTTGTTCCACTCATTTTCGACACGGAAAAAGATCCACTGGAAGCGGCGGAAAATCTCCAAAGCAGCGATTGTGAACACCGTGAGGTAATTGTGACGAAGATGAGCAGAAAGCTTGTATGTCCATGTGCAACGCAAAATCAAATTGCTTGCAATCACCCAAACGTAAACCTGCAATCCCATATACACGAATACTGCTTCAGAACACTGATGAAACAATCTGATTTTTTGTTTCAGTTTTCTACACTCTACTGTTCTATTCTTTCAAATTTTACCATGCGGGTTTTCACATATTCATCAAACTGGATAGAGACTGAGAATCGCTTAAGTAAGATTCATCATAAGATTTAATTCGAATTGTTACAAGTTGCTGATTTAACCATTGATTACACTATTGCATCAAGGACTTGATAAATCATTATTGAATTTTGAAGGAAATTAAAAGATTGAACATAAATTCTACTTTCTATATTTTATTTTATACTTATACTTGGGTACACCCAGAAAAATATCTTAAAGTCCCAATCATATTTGTATTTTGGCCTCTTAAATACCATTTCTCAAACTCCCTCCTGATTTACCATGCTAAACATTGTACAAGACATACTCATGTACAAAGCTAAATTGGAAAGTCTGGCGAAATGTTTACCTTGACTAATCACAATAAGAGACAATATAAGGGAAAAGGATTTAGTGAACTATAGGAATTCTCGTACAATTATACTTACCCATCTCCGTCCATACAGCATATATGAGAACATGTGTGGTTTGCTGAACTTGAATATTCGAGTGAAGCCACTAGCAAAAGAGAGAGGAATATTTATCACATCAAGTCACATGACAGTTATCAGATAAAATAAATAAAACACCATCCAAAGAGTCAATACTGGAAATGAAAACATTTTGGAAAGAAGCTTAGCTTAGTTTAAAATAACATTAAAGATGTATATGGTAGGACAAACATTCCTCATACCTCAGGTCCCAATCTCGAGTCACATCCCAATAGAAAGAGTATGATGAGTTCACAACACTTGACAGAAGCCAAAGAGGCCTATAGATGTTTGTCCACTGCTCGGGCAAAACATGATATTTAAGAGCAGAAAGAAAAATAACTGGCACTGCTGTTGAGTATTTTAATGCTGAAATCATGACCAAAATATCTTGTTAGAAACATAATAATAAAAATCGTTCATGTGTCTTTCCCTGACAGCTTAAGCTTTTGGATAATTGGTTCATTCCATAACATTATATCTTTTAAAGCTCAATATAGATAGACAGGACTTATGCCATGCTTCAAGTTCAAAAAGCTTTCATAGGAAGGGGCATATTAGAAATGCATTATATATTATAACCTAATTTATGCGTCTTCAGCTAACGGCTCAAATTTTTGCAATGGTTCACAGCAAAAAAAAAACATCATTCTTAAGAACATGATAAACTCATTATTAATAATTAAAGAAACCTGCAGGGAAAAGAATATATTGTTGATATTTGTAAATATATAGTGTTAAGAATATTTGTATGTAGAATAGTCTCACATCGATTATATCATGTAATTAGTTGTAATCTCTATATATATAATAAAGTCTTCGTAGTGCTTTCAAAACACACGGTTTAACCTAAATATCTCTTAGTCTCTCCTAATTCAACATGGTATCTAAAGCCTACTACTAAGAGGCAATTCTTCACCGTGCTTTACTTGGTTGACCCACTGTCTTCCGGTGACAATTTTTTTTTTGCAAACCGTGTCATCACTCCGGTTTGCCTCTCACTTTCCAAAATTCTCCGGTAACCACCAGACTATTGCCGCCATTAGCCGCTACTAATTTTGGCGACCTTCCAGCAAACCCTACCGACAAAAGTGTCTCCTTCTATCCGGCCAATCCTGACGATTTTTCCACAGCCGCACTCGCCACCGTGCAATTTTTCCAAACCCGATACTCATGACTACTCCTCGAAACTTTACGCCAAACTACGATGATTTCCTCAAGTGGTATCAGAATTATCAGAACTCAGATTCTACTGCTTCGGTTGCACACACTGGTAATTCATCTGTTTGCTCCTCTCAATCATCTTCTCTTGGACCTTAGGTCCTTGATTCTGATGCGTCTGATCATGTTACTGGTAATAAAAATATTTTCATATTTTCTCTTCCCTCTCTACCTTTGGTTTCTTACCTACTATAACTTTTGCCAATGGTTCTCAAATCCGATCCAAAGGAATTGATACTGTTCAAATTCTACCTTCTCTCTGTTACTTTTGTACTCTATGTACCTAATTGTCCATTTAATTTACTTTCAGTCAGTCGTTTAACTCGTTCTCTTGATTGTATTGTCACCTTCACTAATAGTAATGTCACTTTGTAGGATCGGAGTTCGGGACGGACAATTGACGTCGGATGTGAGTCTCAAGGCTTTTATTACCTCTCAGTGTCATCTCAGACATGCTCAGCCAAAGATTCTCCACTCACAATCCATACTCAGTTAGGTCATCCTAGTCTTCCCAAATTACAGAAGTTTGCTTTAGTTCACTCCGATGTTTGGGGTCCCTCACGTACTATCTCTACTCTTGAGAGTCTAGGTATTGTCACCTTTATTGATGATTTTTCACGTTGCACGTGGTTATTTTTAATGAAAAATAGATCAGAATTATTTTCTATTTTTGAAAATTTTTATAAAGTAAAAACTCAGTTTGGTGTGTCTATTCGTACCTTAAGAAGTGATAATGCTCGTGAATATTTATCCCAACAATTTCAAACTTTTATGTCCAGTAATGGTATTCTCCACCAAACATCTTGCCCTTATACACTTCAACAAAACGGAGTAGCCGAACGCAAAAATCGGCATCTTGTAGAAACCACTCGGACCCTACTTCTCCATGGTAATGTTCCACTTCGGTTTTAGGGAGACGCTGTGCTAGCGTCGTGTTACCTTATAAATTGCATGCCATCATTTGTCCTTAACAATAAAATCCCTCATTCAATCTTTTTTCCCCATTCCCCCCTTCACCCAATTCCTCCTCGAGTCTTCGGTTCTACATGTTTTGTACACAATCTCTCTCCTGGTCTTGATAAACTATCAGCTCGATCACTAAAGTGTGTTTTTCTTGGTTATCATCGATCCCAAAAAAGTTATCGTTGCTATTCACATACCCTACAACGATACCTCATGTCGGCCGATGTCACATTCTTCGAGTCAGTTCCATATTTAGAGTTCAGCCAAGTAACTCCGGAACCCCGTCAGGAGAGTACTCCCACACCTCTTCTAGAAGTCTCATATGTCATTATCCCTCATCATTCTAGGGAATCTGGCCCACTAGATAACCCTATGGTTGACCCCCCGACTTCTCGTCCACTTCAAACATATCAGCGTCGTCAACCAACGTTTGTCGTACCTGTCCCAAAGGTCGTACCTGTCCCTGAGGTCGTACATGTCCCTGAAGTCATAGCAGACTCTCCTCCGACGCTCTCGCCATCACCGGATCCGATCCTGCAACCTGAGTCCGATCTTTCAATTGCCCTTCGAAAAGGTATACGTCAAACACGAAATTCTTCTCCACATTATATTGATTTATGCTATCATCGTCTTTCCCCTTTGCAATATATATGTTTGTCTTCTTTGTCTTCTGTTTCTATTCCTAACACTCCAGGTGAAGCATTATATCACCCTGAGTGGAGGCAAGCAATGATTGGTGAAATGTGTGTTCTTCAAAGCAGTGGTATATGGGAACTGGTTCCTCTAGCCCCTGAGAAATCTTTAGTAGGTTGTTGTTGGCTTTATACAGTGAAAGTTGGTCCAGATGGTAAGATTGATCGATTTAAAGCTCGCTTGGTAGCCAAAGGATACACTCAGATTTTTTAGTTGAGTTATAGTGATACGTTCTCGCCTGTAGCCAAGATGGCATCTGTTAGACTTCTTCTAGCCATTGCAGCCATTCGACATTGGCCTCTTCATCAACTTGACATCAAAAATGCATTTTTACATGGTATCTTAAAGAGGAAGTATATATGGAGCAACAACCTAGGTTTGTTGCTCAGGGGGAGTTATCAAATATGGTTTGTAGGTTACACAGGTCTCTTTATGGTCTTAAGCAATCTTCGACAGCTTAGTTTGGCAGATTCAGCACTACAGTACAACAATTTGGTATGGTCCGTAGTGAAACTAATCATTCAATCTTTTATCGTCACTCAGCCCAAGGGTGTATTTATCTTATTGTGTATGTAGATGATATTGTCATAACTGGTAGTGATGAGCAGGGAATACTCCAGTTGAAACAACATCTTTCGAATCAATTTCAGACAAAAGATCTTGATAAACTCCGGTATTTCTTGGGTATTGAGATAGCGCAATCAAAAGATGGTTTGATGATTTCTCCGCGGAAATATGTTATGGATATTTTGGAAGAAAGAGATTTGTTGAACGCTAAACCAGCTGATACTCCTATGGGTCCAAGTGTCAAACTACTACTTAATCAGGGAAAGCCTCTATCAGACTCGGGAAGGTATAGGAGATTGGTTGGAAAGATGAATCATCTCACAGTCACTCGTCCAGACATTTCTTTTGCAGTCAGTGTGATAAGCCAGTTCCTAAATTCACCTTGTCACGAACACATGGATGCAGTTATTCGGATTATGAGATACATCAAATGTGCTCCAGGAAAAGGTTTAGTGTATGAAGATAAAGGACATACTCAGATAGTTGGATACTCCGATGCTGATTGGGCAGGGTCACCGAATGATAGACGATTCACCTTTGGGTATTGTGTACTTGTTGGAGGAACCTTATATCCTGGAAAAGTAAGAAACAAAATGTAGTTGCAAGATCAAGCGCCGAGGCAGAGTATAGGACCATGACAATGGTAACATGTGAACTCATTTGGTTAAAACAGTTGCTCAAAGAACTTCAAATTGAAGAAGCAAGACCAATGACACTTGTATGTGATAATCAAGTTGTATTGCACATTACTTCAAATTCAGTCTTCCATGAGAGGACCAAACATATTGAGATAAACTGTCACTTTGTCAGAGAGAAGATTGAATTTGGCGACATCGTCACAAGCTTTGTCAACTCCAAGATGAATTGGTAGATGTGTTTACAAAAACTATGTGAAGTCTCAGAATTAATTACATATGTGACAAGCTTGGTGCATTTTACTTATATGCTCCAGCTTGAGGGGGAGTGTTGATATTTATAAATATATAGTGTTAAGAATATTCGTATGTAGAATAGTCCCACATCGATTATATCATGTAATTAGTTGTAATCTCTCTATATATAATAAAGCATCCGTAATGCTTTCAAAACACACGGTTTAATCTAAATATCTCTTAGTTTCTCCTAATTCAACAGATATAAACAAGCAATTAAAATACAAACACAGTATTATGATAAACAACACAGGTCTAGAAAAATCGAACATAAATGCTCCAATTCTCAATGATATTAGAGTGAATTAGACTTGTTCCAAACTCTAAGATGATATTAGAGTCTATGGTAAATATGTTGATAGGTTTCCCACATTGTCCACTCTCTAGACCCATTGGGTAGTGTGAGGGGGGTGTTGTAAATTTTACTTTAACTTGCAGCCCACATATAGCTGGCTTCATTGCAGCCTCCGACACCTTCATTGTGCAGGGTGTGAGGCGTGGGTTTAATCTCACATTTCTTAGAGATATGACTTTGATAGGGCTTACAAGGCTTGGGCAGTCCTTGCCTTACATGTTGGTTTTGTGGAGAAGAATTAAACCCAACCAAAATTCTAAGATTTATTATCATGCATGAAAGATGATTCTGACATAGACTAAACTGTCCCAAGTTCACCTGACAGATTTTACCAGTTTAAAACATACTCCGTCCATATAGGCAAAAATGGTATGTGAAAAATTGATGCATGTCGTTTAAAATTAAGACAAGATACATAGATTTTTCAGATGTTCTTTTTTGCTTTTATTTCATTCCAGAGGGAGTATACAACAACCACATTCCATTTAATACACAGGAATAAGTCGATGATAACACCAAAAATTATTAAAAATATATTAAGAGAATTTTCAAACTGCAACTGAAGCTTTCAAGAAATCCGACATAGCAAAGTTGTATAGGATTACTATATAAATAAGGTAATAACAAAGTGAATCCCCAAACACATGGCCATGGTAGTCAGAATCGCGATCCTTCTCGTAGGATCGTCCGATTCTACGATTTTGCTAAGCCTGGCGACTGTGCTGAGGGGAAAAAATCATATTTTGGTAGGATTGGTGGGATCGCCGTCAAAACACGTAGGAACACTGTGTTTATGCCGTTTCTGTAGTTTCTACCATTTCTGCTCATTTTTTATTTTTGCTGTACTCTGCCCCCATTTAATTCTCCTCTTAAATTCCAATTAACTTCCATATTAGCTTTTGAAATCCTTCCCAATAATACCTACTTAATCCTATTAATTTTTTAAAACATTTCCAAGTACAGCCACCGAATCCTTTCCCATTACAGCCTGAGCTACCAATTCATTTATTCAATAGTTGTTTCTTCTCATTCGTTTCCCCTCTCTCACTACTTTAAATATAATCACTCAGTTTTTTATTCATCAGATGGCATTACTAAACATAACCTGTTAGCCTTTTTATTTTTTCTCCCTGCATATTTCTTTTTATATGCATATTAATGAAAAAATATGCAATATACATAAGTTTGTAAAATTGGTAGGATCTTACGATCCGTGTTACGATCCTCCGATTCACGAGCTTGTGACCCCTCCCCGGTCTAATGTAGGATCTCGATTCTGACTACTTTGCACATGGCAGCAAAACAAGCAAAATAGAGGAAAATGTGCCCTAAATTGTGATGTATTTGACTACAAGCATGACTTCATAAACTTGCAAAATTTAAATGATTACTGATACAATTCAAATTCTAAAAAGGAAACAGGACAGGGGCTTTAATTAATTATAGCAACCAAGAGCACTTACCATTCAGAAGTGCAGTTTTTTCTCCAGTATCTTTGTACTGCCGGAGACATTGGTTTAAGCGAAAAACGTAAGGCAAAACAAGAACTAAAGGAATTGCAACAGAATGACTGCCACAAATAGAATCAGCTTCCAACCAAGCAATTGTTGCAACCTACAAAGAAATTTAAAATGCATCCACTTGTGAGAAAACTGAAGCAACAACTTTAAGTAAAATCTATGTAATGTATATAAATTTTAATCACTAAGAAATAAATTACTCTATATAAGATTTGGGAACGGTAAGCACAATCAAAATCGTAGTTGAATTACAAATTTTAATATTATAGAATCAACTGAGCTGATTTAGCTCTAGAAAACTATTGGCATAGGAAACTCAATGCTATACATAATCCCAATGATATACAAAAGAAAATGATTATAATTTTATTATTTATATATTTGAAGTTGACCAAATTCATGGGATCATCAGAATAGGAAACTCAAAAGCTACACTAAAACATGCTAATATGAACTCCCTAACTGATACTAGAAGGACATGGATTTATAAGGATCGAACCTGCCGGTGGACCATCCTACATACTGAACGCTCCAAATCAGAAAAGACCTGCATAAAATTGCAATAGTAATCAAAATAAATATTGAAGTGGGTTAATAGAAACTTGGGAGCTAAACTTTGGATTAGATCAACAAATTATGCCAATTCTAAACTCAGGTTGTATCATGTGTGCCAGAATTGGACCTCTATAACAGTAACAAAGGTAACTAAATACAGGAAAAGATGCCTTTAGACATATAAATAAACTAATACTTAGGCTAAAAACCTAGTAAATAAAATTATTAATGAAGAATAAGATGGGAGAGAATAGATTTTTCAAGTGAAAGATAATATTGAAGAGAAAGCATACCTTTACCATGGAAGTTAAGATATCAGCCAAGAAAAAATCAGCGAATGATATTGCCTGTTTTCATGAAAATAGAACAATGTCAGATCATATACAAGCCTGGTTCCAACAACATACCAAAAGTATAAGTCGATGAGGGATAGAGAAAAGAAAGGGGAAAGCTTAGGCTCAAATATCAAGTCTTAAGAATCTAAATAAATAAAGAACAACAATAATTCTCTTCTATGTTTTAAAACACTGCAATAGTTCTGGGCATCTTCAAAGAAAGCTTCAACCCACTGCCTTTAATTGTTTTATTTGTGCATTTACTAGTAAAGGTTGTTTACATATGTCATTAATTAGTGGGAACTATCTTGGAAATGGCTGTGATAAAGGTCATTCTCCTATGAATAGCTTACTATTTATGATAAGTAGTGAATAGTCTTGTCTTGGCAGTTTTCTCCTCCCTTTGTTACATTGAGAAGTAGAACAACATGTACATAAGCATCTGCATTACAATCATTTCATCTAATGTGAAAAAACACCGGTTGCTTCTTTCTTAATGGATGCCAAATGAGAGAGAGTTACATGGGTATTTTTGTTATTTATATGACACTGAACACGGAGAAGAAGCGTGTGAATATGATATTCATGAATGAAGCATTATATTTTCATGCTTATATGTCTCCTTGCTCGTGCATAACATATATATAATTCAATAACTACTGACCACTATTTCAAGAGTAGCACAGCAAGAACTTGACACAACATAATACATCCAAATAAAAGCAAACTTGCCTGTAGTGGGAAAACTATTCGCCAGAGTGTCCTTAAGAAGAAATATCTAGACGAAAAATAGAAGATATCGAAGGGGAATATCAAAACCATTACAATAGCAGCATACAAGAGCACCTGCAGAAGGGTACATGAAAAATTCAACATGCTTCCAATATAAGGTATAAAAGGCAGCACAAAATGGAACTGAATATTTATCAATCATATATATAAAGCAATTAGCAAATGAAAATACTACAATACTAAATTGAGAAGAGTGATAACCGAGCAAACACAAGTAATAAGTGTGGATGCATCTATTACACTGGTTGTGATGCAGCATATGCGACTTCTCCACGAGAATAAAGATAAATATATGCTGTCATACTGGTTGGAACAATAACTGTCATCCACATGGCACACTGCAACAATCAATGGAAAAAGTTTAGGGGCGAAAGATACAAGTCAAACACTTGAGACTAATTATCAGAAAGTGAAGAACAAAGTGTAAAAAGAGAAAAAGAATTAGAAAAATGGCTGAGAACTGAGAAGAAAGCCAGGAATATTAGCCTTTTAAGCTATAATAACAGTGAAGGGTGGCACAGCAGTTGGATTTGTTACCATATGCCTATTGACTGGGATATCATAGACTTGAGTAATAGAATCAGCTTCTGGAAAATGTAAGGTAAGGCTGCATACAATATAACCACAATAGTTTGACTCCCCTAGACTCTATTACGCTAGGAGTTTTATAGCACTAGACAAGAAAGCACAACGACTTCTAAACAGTAGTTGTGTCGTGCTGTATCCATGTAGGACACTTCTAATTGGACTTCACTTTTTTTTCCTTCAATTTTTTGAACTTTCATATATGTATGAAAATACCACAATAATTAGATAAATGAAAGAACGTTACTATATTTAAAATGCCATAAGCTAATTTTTAAAATATTTGTTTTCTTTTTCTATTTCAGGTTTCTGTTCTTATATTAACTGTACTAATTTTGAGGGTTGAATTACATCCTAGTTACATCTTATAAAAACTTCAAATTTACAGTATCTCATGTCTTTTGTCAATGATACCATATCTAAATGTGTGGCATTAATGCTTTCTAGGTATCAGGCTGTCATTCAGCAATATCATAACCGTAATTGAAACCAAAACACCAAAAACTAACAAAAAGATTAGTGTAATAAATGCAAGATTACTTATACCATATGTAGTACACAGATTGATCCTTCAATTTCAACATATCATATTCAAGAGGAATCAGTGCTACTTAGTTTATGTTTTTATGTTAAAAAAAAGGGTATGATGCTTATGTTCTACACCTTGACCTTCTAAGGAAATCATATTCTCTCCTAAAGCACAAGAGTGTTCATTCCTTGCGAACAGGAATGAATCCATGTTTGTTTTGGTCTTTATTGGTCTTTACTAGTTTTAACTAAGATTCCATTTGATGCTTACTTTATGTACTAAGCATAAAAATGGATTGACAAAATAAAAGTAAAAGTTCATTATTGAGAAAACCAAAATTTGGAACAAAAATGGATGCTAACTTCCAATTTCCAGGAAATGTCACTCCCATTTTAATTTCCCTTACGGTCCTATAGAAACCAATGTGTCAAACATGACATGAGTTAAATTGGCAAGTTGATACCTTCCATATTTCTGTGTGTGTCAGATGATTTTGATCAAGATCAAATATTTTTGAATAATTAACTCCACCCTGAGCAAAAAACCATAAGTTGGTTCCCCAAAGCCAAACCATCAAAGTCTGAAACATATCAATGAGATGAAAATGAAACACAATGATACAATAAAGAATGTAAAGAAAATTTAAAAGTATAAATTTAATATCCTTGAATCCATATGCAAACATAGAAACTGAAATAGTGGGGAGAAAACTAACCGCGAGAAGAAGAGGATTAAAATACAAAAATGCTTCATATATGAATAAATCCCGCTTGTCTGCACTCATTCTCATTACAGAATCCCATCCAATCTGCAAGTTTCCACCATGGCGCATAAGATTGAAGCAACGTGCTGAAATCCTTAAGAAGATATTATCTTAACCTCAAATCACATGGAGGGAAATGAGAAGAAGTATTGTAGAGGAAAACATTACTTACCTTGCAACAAATGCAGCCCCAAATAAGGAACAATAGTACCTGGACATCAACCTCAATTATATTTGTGAAAAAATAGAAAGAGAGCAGTTTGAAGTATACAATAGACCTAAAGTCATATTATACTTCATAATGAAAATAACATATTCAAGTATGAAGAAATAACAACCGAATGATTGCCTGTTGTTCTCACTTCTCAATTAAGTTATGTCAACTGACCCTAAAATTTTCTCTCCAAAAGAATCAAATATAAAGCATCTCACAAGAATAAAAGAAACATCACTTCCATCATTCAAAAAAACCTTTGCATTCATTCAAACAAAAGCATAAAACACATTATAGAAAAAACTTACAAGAAAATTCAAAATTACTTTCTAACACCTAAAACAAAACAAGCAAAAAAAATAAACAAAAAACCTTGAATCTCCACAACAAAATAGGCGAGGGCATCATAGCAGTAGCACTCATCGGCGTTGTACCACCCCTCGAATCATTCACCTCACCAGAATGCAATAAACTTTCATCAGCCCCACCCTCCCCCTCATATTCATCTACAAACATCACAAACCATAAATCACGTCAATAGAACACCAAAAACCAAAACATCGAGAAACCTAAAATAGAAACATAATCCATTAAAAAAAAATACCAAAATCATAGACAACAGCTCTACTCCCAGACTTGCGTAAGTGAGGACTGTTAGCAGGAACAACAGGACCTCCAAACATAGATGAAAACCACAAACAACTAATATCTCTTTCACTTTTTCCCCTCTTCCAATTCTTCTAACAATCTTCAACACGCAAAATTTCAACAAATTAACAACTAATTAACAAGTCAATTAACAAACAGCTAAACTTAACCAAATCATTATTCAAAAATGTTAACCCTAAATTGATGATTAGATGAGTTCTTGCGAAGCCGATTCGGAATGCATAAACGCAAAATTGATGTTAAATTGAGAAATGAAAATGCGGATCGAAAAGGTGAGAGAAAGATAGAGAGATAAACCGAATCGAGTTGAATCGAAGAGAAAATTGATGAATGAGGTGTGCGATTAGCGTAGCGATGAGTGTGGATCTCTGAGGTTGGCGGAAAAGGGTTAAGATTGAGTAGAACGCACATATGAAGGTATGAAACGCGTTGTATTTTCAACTGTCGGAAGAGAGGACAGGCCTTTGCAATGCAAATGCAATGCAAATGTTTTTGAATTAGTGAACATGTAAGAATACTATAGGTTAAATATTATTTTATGAATTTTTTTGTAAACTAAATGCTAAACATAATAGACTTGTGAATTTATTAATCTTGGAGGATGAATTTGATTGAGATTTTAAAATTTAAAAAAAAAATGATATTTAATAAAAGAAATCATAAAATTTAAATTAACTTTGTCACAATTACAATTAAGATAATCACAATTTTTTTTCCTCAAAGAAATTAATTCATATCATTCCATAATTATTGTTCAATACAAGGAGAAATCAAATCGACAACGTTGCGCCTAGTCCAAGAATTGGTCACTCTAACAAGTGAGTAATTAAATTCGCTCGGCGTCTTACAAATTTTACCTCAAAGTTATGAATACAAACAGTAAATTCTTAATAAATTTGATAGTTAAGTTAAATTCCGAGCTTCCATCTTTACTGGCATGGATAGCTTGAATAAATATTTGAGAACCAACCTCAAATTGAACATGGACGACCTGCATATGAATTGTCGACTCAACTGCTTCATTCAGCGCCATAGCTTCGGCTTCTACTGTTGAGAGGATATCGTAGTCCCAAGTTGTACCTGCACAAACAAAGATACCGAAACTATCTCTAAAGTACCGGACCCGATTGGTCGTATTTCTTTGGAGATTGAAGTCGACACCCACATTACACTTTATCCACCCATTATTTTGCAGAATCCAAGCCGATTGGTGATAAATTTCACCACTATCATTATTGTCATCCTTTTGAGCCTTGAACCAATTTTGCCAAGTATGAAAAGTTTGGATATCTAAATGCATAAAACCCCCTCTTTCGCCATTCCACGTGAAATTGTTCATATTATTCCACAACATCCCCATTATAACTGCAAATCACCCTGAGACCCACATATCTTTCTTGCTAATAACATCAATGATAAGGGATTTAACATCATTAAACATTTGTATCTTAGGTTCTATAATAGATAATAATCCAGCCACTCGCCAACACTGATTGGTATAGGTACATCCAAAGAAGACATGACACTCATCTTTCTCATCATCTTCGTATAATTGACAATGCAAAGGACGGTGAATAAAGTGTTGTCGAAGTTTGAGCTGCGTTGGAAGACAACATTTGCAATTATCATACGGTTTCTTACGAGTAAGTTCATCACAAACTGTTGAATTTTCAATTACAATTATATGTTTGTTATTTTAGCTTTTCTAAGATGTGTGTATATTAGTTGATAGATTTTATAGCTGATAGTTTAAGCTGATAGTTTAAGTTGATATTTTAAGCTGATAGTTTAAGTTGATAATTTAAGTTGATAAAGCCCTAGAATTAAGTAGAAAGATTAAAATTTAATTACATAAACTTTCATTACAAAAGGCCTTTATAATCATATCTAAATCTTCTGGCTCAGAAAAAGCTTGACCAAGTATAATCTGATTCATCTTCATCATCAGAATCAGGAAAAAAATCATTTGTCTTCTCACTTTTCTTCTCCTTCTTCTTCTTGCTCTCCTCTGCCTGAGAGCTCTCCTAGGTCTTAACAATTCTTGATTCTGAGGAGGCAGAACATCTTCAATATTGTTTGAAGCTCTCTCAACATTGTTGGAAACATCAATAGAAGTATCTATTTTGGTTCTTCTTCTTCTCTTATTTCTTTGGATGAAAGTTCTTTTTGTGTTTTGGTTCAAAGAGTGATTTTGATTTTATATTGTTTCTTCTGATTCTCCCTCTTCTCTGATCCTTGAAAGTCTAAAAGTTAAAAGATTTCATGCATGTCAAGTTTGCTCATTATTGGTTCTTTAATTTCTTGAGTTGTTGAATGAATGATTATATCTACTTGTCTTTTCATATATCTTTTTCCCTTATTTGATATTCCTACTTACGTATAGTTTGATGTAATACAAGTTTTATATCAATTCACAAATGGTGTGTTGTTGATTATGATATGATACGAATGAGATTTATTCATAAACAATATCACAATAGTTCTTTCTCAGAACTGTTGTTATAGGGCGCACACTTCATAGTTTACTATTATTATCACTAGATCGTGATTGAAAGTAACACATATACAACCACACTCTATATAACAACGCCTAGACCTACGTGATTATATATATATATATATATATATATATATATATATATATATATATATATATATATATATATATATATATATATATCATTTCCAACTGTTGTTAAAGGCCTTTTCGTAGTAGTGAAAGTGTGTTGTGAGATTATATCGATGGTTGAAGAGCTTTCTGCCAACATAGACGTTGCACCGTAAAGTTTCAACCTGGTTTTCGACATGCGAAAAATCTTGAATTAGTTTAGTTTCAAGTGAAGTATACTCTTTTTTAAGTGGAGTATGATAGTTTTTAAAACTATGATTGTCGGTGAAGACAATGTGAAAATTCTTGGAGTGGTGTAGCTCTAAGTGACTATACTCTTTATTGTGGAGTATAATTGACGATGAAGATAATGAAAGTTAATGTATTATTTTCAATCAAGGTGGAGATTATTGGGGTTGGTTGAAAATATACATGTTAAAGAAGTCTCACATTGCTTATTTTTGTAAAGGAAGAGGGAGTCCAAGACTATATATAATATTCAAGTTTTTTTTACAAGATGTACCAGTCAAAAACACTTTAAATTTGTATTTGACTTTTTCATTTTCTCTTACACTCTTGTTTTAGAGTGCTGTGAGAGGTAGTTAAATATTTGTTTTAGAGAGTGTGGTGTATTGGGGTCTGGGGTGTTTGAGATAGTTTATATGTTGTAACAATTTTTACATAGTGATATTCTCTGATTGTCATTTGACAACGATCGTGATTTTTTACCGGTTTTAAAGTTTCCACACTAATCTCTCGTGTTATTATTTTGTTCTTCTTTTTTCTCTATATTTTATTTTTTTTCCAATATTAAAAAGTAATTAACCCTTAGATTCAAAATATAGCAAGTTAACCAAAATAATTAATCAATACTAAATTTCTAAGGAATCATGTTTAACCAATTAACCAATTAATTAAATCATGAACAAAATTCAAGCAACGTACAACCATATCTTTAATTCACACACTAGTCGAGTCATGAACTAAAAAGATAAAAAATAATTACCACAAAAAACGACAACAAATCAAATAAGCTAGTAATTAATTAATTACCCAAAGGGTGTTAAGTATTATAATTAGAGATCAAAATATTGGACTTAGAGATCCAAATTATTCTCAAGAGAGCCTATGGAATGTATTGGCAAATAAAGATGAGATTTCTTAGTATATCTTTATATGGGTGAAAAAACTTCTAAAAATTTTAAAATGTCCTTCGGATATGAATATCCGAACGAACGTCTATATTTTATTTTCAACGAATTTTTAGATATGTATATCTAAAATAACTCAATATTTTATTTGTAGAGGATTTTTGAATATGCATATCCGAAATAATCTAATATCTCAATTTTACTTTAATTTTATTTTAAATTTAATTTGTGATCATTCTAAATTTGAATAATATTTATTTTAAATACATATAATTTTTGTGCTATTATTTATTTTATATTTGTTTTTACTATATTTAAAAAGAAATAATTAGAGTTTTAAATTAAGTTAAGACTTAAATCAAAATATAAAAATATTATATATCTTAAAGCATAATTTCTCTATTTTGTTTAAAAGATAAAAGTTATATTATAACTTTTAACATAGTCATTTGACATATTAATATTTTTAATGTATACCTTAACTTCTTTTAATTTAAAAGATATATCATTCGTTTTTTTTTATAAATAAATTACTATTTTAATTTGTGATAGTTTTAAAAGAATACAATAAAGTTGTTTAGAAATTTTAAGTCTAAATAATTTATTTTAAACAGGAATTACTATGTAATTTATAATTTATTTTTAATATGTTAGTAAATGATTATTTTAAAAAGTTAATAATAATTAGAGAATAATATGTTTATTTCGGATATACATATCGAAAACTCTCTGAAAATGAAATATTAAGATTCGTTCGGATATGTATATCTAAAATCCCTTGAAAATGAAATATTTAGTTTATTCAGATATACATATCCAAATTTTAGAGGTATTACGAAAATTTTGCCAAAAACTTCTAAAAAGACATAAGAGTGCATAAAGAAACCCCAATAAAAATAGTGTAATAATGAAAATTAAATTAGGTCCTAAATACTCAATTGATCAAAAAGAAAATACAATAAAGTCTCGCCGAAACACTAAAGTATACATTTTTTAATACTACTTATAATCTTACATTTTGGATATATATATATATATATATATATATATATATATATATATATATATATATATATATATTCTTTCTGTTTTTCAATATGTATATATACTATATTCTTTATGTCTTTATAATATATATATAATAACTACTAAGAGTCTGTTTGGTTGGGAGTAAATAGATGGGAAGGGAGGGGAAGAAGGGAAAGAGAATATTTAATAGATGGAGGGGACTAAAATTTCTCCTGAACCACTTTTT